GTCGAAAATCAATTGGGCAGGAAGATAAAAGTACTTAGATCCGATAGAGGCGGAGAGTATCTTAGTATCGAGTTCAACGACTATCTAAAAGAATGTGGGATAGTCTCACAATTAACTCCTCCTAGGACACCACAGTTAAATGGTGTAAGTGAGAGGCGTAATCGAACCTTTTTAGACATGGTTCGTTCTATGATGAGTCGTGCTTCGCTTCCTATTCACTTCTGGGGGTATGCCTTAGAGACATCTGCCCACATCCTCAATCTTGTCCTTACAAAGAAGGTTGCCAAAACACCTCACCAAATGTGGACGGGAAAAGTTCCCTCGTTAGCACATATTAAAGTCTAGGGTTGTGTAGCTTTCGTAAGACGAGAGACTCACGACAAGCTAGCAGCTAGAAGTGAGAAATGTGTTTTCATTGGTTACCCAAAACAGTCTTTTGGATATTTGTTCTACAGACCTAGTGAAAACGTAGTCTTTGTAGCACGAAGAGGAGTCTTTCTAGAAAGAGAGCTCATATTCAAAGAGGACAGTGGGAGCACCATTGACCTTGAAGAAATTCAAGAGTTAGCCAATGAAGGAACCTTAGATGACACTAGCACTCAACCAGAGGAAACAGTTCCTGTTGAACCAGTTTATAACTCATTACCTCTTCGAAGATCCACTAGGGTGAGTGTGCCACCTGAGTTGTATGGTTTTCATATTACTTCAAATGGTGACACATTCATCAGTGATAGGACACTGGTAAATTTAGATGAACCAGTTACTTATAAGGAAGCAATGGCAGGCCTAGAGGCTTCCAAGTGGAAAGAGGCAATGGACAGCGAGATTAAGTCCATGTATGACAACCAAGTTTGGAATTTGGTTGATAGTGCACAAGGTCGTAAGACAGTTGGGTGCAAATGGATCTTCAATAAGAAGACAGACATGGATGGAAATGTGCACACATTCAAGGCTCGACTGGTTGCAAAAGGTTTCACTCAAACCCCAGGGGTTGACTATGATGAGACCTTCTCGCCAGTAGCTAAGATTAAATCTATTAGGATATTGCTCGCCATAGCTGCCTTTCATGACTATGAAATCTGGCAGATGGATGTCAAGACTGCCTTCCTTAACGGGACGTTGGCTGAGGATGTTTACATGAATCAGCCAGAGGGTTTTGTTGATGCAAAGTTTCACAATAGAGTGTGCAAGCTTGAGAAATCCATTTATGGATTGAAACAAGCATCTCGCAGCTGGAATCTTTGCTTCCATGAGAAAGTCAAAGAGTTTGGTTTCTCTAGAAGTGAAGATGAGTTTTGTGTGTATATCAAGGCTAGTGGGAGTATAGTAACTTTTCTGGTATTATATGTCGATGACATATTACTCATTGGTAACGATGTTCCAACCTTGAAAGATGTTAAGTCTTGGCTTGGAAAGTGTTTTGCCATGAAAGACCTTGGAGAAACTGCCTATATTCTTGGGATTAGAATATTGAGAGATAGAAAGAAGAGACTAATTGGACTTAGTCAGAGCACATACTTGGATAAGGTACTAAAGAGGTTTAGTATGGAAAATTCCAAGAAGGGAGAGCTACCTATCCAGAGCAATACCAAATTGAGTAAGACTCAATGCCCGAGTACAGATGAGGAAATAGCTGACATGAGTCGTGTACCTTATGCTTCCGTTGTCGGATCGATCATGTACGCTATGACATGTACTCGCCCTGATGTGGCATTTGCTTTGAGTATGGTCAGTCGCTATCAGGGAAACCCGGGTAGAGCTCATTGGATAACGGTTAAGAATATACTCAAGTATTTGCGAAGGACAAAGGACGGGGTCCTTGTACTTGGTGGCAAAGATACTTTGAGAATAGATGGTTACAGTGATGCCAACTTTCAAACGAATAGAGATAACTTCCGTTCTCAATCAGGTTGGGTATTTTTACTGAATGGAGGAGCAGTTACTTGGAAAAGTTCCAAGCAAGATACGGTGGCTGATTCTACTTGTGAATCAGAGTACATAGCAGCGAGTGAAGCGTCGAAAGAAGCAGCTTGGTTGAGGAACTTCATCGGAGATCTCGGAGTTGTTCCAACCATCCAGGAACCTATGGAACTGTTCTGCGATAATGAAGGAGCGGTTTCCTTAACAAAGGAACCCAAAGATCATGGTAAAACCAGACATATCGATAGAAAGTACCATTTCATAAGACATAGAGGAGAAGAAGTCCATCTTGTTGTAAAGAGGGTATCATCTGAAGACAACCCAACAGACCCCCTCACAAAGGGTCTGAGTAGGGTGAAGCATATTCAGCATGCTCGGAGCATTGGAATGAGAGATGATATTAGTTTTAGTAGTTAGATTAGTTTTGTTCTGAAACTTGTAACAAAGTAAATGTAATTGACTTTTGGTGATTAAATAATAAAGTATTATTTATGAGTTTGGTTACTGCCTTTTGTCAATTGTTTATTATTGTGTTTCATATTTTGCATGTATTCCTGAATAATATGATTATTCAAACTCCACAGTCGCTCGTACTTTTGGAAGTAAGTAGTGAGTTAAGACTGTCATGAATTAGATTGTAGATTGTCTAAGGATAGACATAGCAATATAATTGCTGCAATGATTCAGGAGTACTCAGAAATTGAGATTTGAGTATTGGATAAACCCTCGCTCAGAGTATTATTTCATGGAATTCATCATGAGTAATACTGAGACGATAATATCTTATAATCTTGAAACGAAGATATATGAGTTGTAATTTGCGAAGTGGGTTATACATTGGTGATACGAAAACGCATCAGTAACTTGGTGTTATAAAACATATTGTCATGTATAGTTTGATAAGTAAAAGATACAAGCATATGAGTCAACGTTTATTCGTTCCTTTTTCCCTAACCGGAAAAGCGATATTTGTGGGCCCCTCGATGATTTGGTGTTGACTTATGTCCTGGGCCCAGCCAGGACTAAATTGATGTGTTCAATTAGAAGTCCTATATCATCACAAATCAGAAATCGGGAAACATAGATTCTGGACAAAGAGATTGATTACATTCCATGTCTTATGTCTGGGGATATCTTGCAGAACGAAGGATTATATGATCACTTATCTTAGGACATGTAACTGACTGGGTCAGAGTTTAGCAGCGGCTTTTGGAAGCTACAATTTGCTGGTCAAATTTAGAAGTCATACTAGCAATTATAGTTATAGACTTATCCAAGTGGGAGACTGTTGGATTAGGTGTCTAAGCCCATAACTATAATTGGTATGTACTTGAATTGATAGCAGCACAGTCCTTTTGGGTTGCCCTCAAACCTAACAACTGGACAAGGAAATTATGAAAGGAGAGATATTGATTTATTATAAGATTAATAAATTAATATAAATGATTTATTAATATGTTAAAAGGTTAACATATTAATTAGAAATCATAATATTTAATTAATAGTTAGCCAGAAATTAATTAGAATTAATTTTAGGGTTAATTGTGTTAATTATAAAGTGCAGGGACTAGTTTGCAATTATCTAATAGTTGAGTGGAAGGTTCCAGAACCTCCTTGGAAGGGGGTGGACGAAATCTATAGGGGAAAACCTAATGATTTCGTCCAAGGGGCTTGGATAAGGCCTTTAGATAAGCTTAGGCCCCAAGCAAAGGAACATTAGGGTTTTCCCTAAACCCTAGATCCCTCAGTTATATAAGGAGCCTCCTAGCTCCCAAAATTGGCACTCCTTCTCTTGAAGAAACCCTAGGCCGATTTTTGCATACCCTAACCTTTCTCTTCACAAGTTTCCTTTTTGCTAGCTCTTGAGTGTGATTCCATTAGAGACATTACAATTGTGGTGCTAGGATTCCAAGAAGATCAAGATCAAAGGATTACCAACTGTTTGCTATAACAATTGAAAGGTATGTAACTCTAAAACCCTAGTTGGTTAATTTCGAAAATAGCCTCTCTCCTTAGGGTTCTTGTTTTGCAATTCAAAGTTATATAGCCTCTCTCCTTAGCCTCTCTCCTTAGGGTTCTCATTGTTGGTAGAGCGTAGACAGGATGACGCTCGGTGGCCGGTTATACCGACAACTTTCAACACTGATACATTTGACTGGAGTGACATGGCTGACGGATCCGTTTACCCAACTTGGGCAGACTGTGATATACTATAATTATGTTTCGATTACATTACCTAAATATGTACGTACTAAAATGTTATTTGATGTTTAATTATTTATAACCTTTTTTTGTAGATTTACATCCCAATCAATATACCAACAGCTCACTGGTTTTTGGGCGTTTTGAATTTGAAGACTTTCCAAATGATAACATACGATAGTCATTGGAAGAGCGACTATTTTTCAGAAACCCATGATTAGTTTATCAGTATGCGAGCCTGAATCCTTATGCTGCTAGTGGGTATAAAATACTGGGGTACCGAAGAAAGTGATTCAATCCCACTTGAGAGTTTCAACATTCTCACTTGAGAGTTTCAACATGACCCTCGAACAGACGCCACAAGTACCACAACATATTGATGGTAGATGGGGTTGTGAGGTGTTTTGTGTTGGTTCCTAAAATCGTTAATCACCGGGAAGTCGTATTCTATAGACGGTCCAAGCTACATGAGCTATGTCATATCGTAAACGACACAAAAATATTTTGGAGTATAAGGAATACGATGATTTGTACATTGTAATGTTACTTGAAACAAATCCCTTTAGTTTATAAATTTATTTGGTTTTTGTTGATTTTAAGATTATCAATTGTATTTTATTTAATATATAAACAAAACTTCTAAAAAAAACAAAACCTCTAAAAAAAACAAAATATATTTAATAAAGGTCTCGAATGAAATATACATTATATAAAGGGAAATTGAGTAATCTAACCTTAAAAAAAAACAAATTTTTTAGAATGAAATCATACTTCGGAACGTTCCGGAAAATATGATTAATTTAAAATAAAAAATAAATAAATAAATGATACACATTGTAAAGGGTTAGATTACTTAATTTCCCTCGTATTTTTATTATGTTTTGTATTTTTTAAAATAAAAATAAGTGAAAAGATATAAGCGAGTCGTTTCCCAACTCTAATAAGACGGTGGCGGCGGCGGGGAAACATCGATGTTAGCTCTATTCCGGTACAATTTCTTCTTTCATTGATCATATCATTACTTTATGCATATATCGACTCCACTGTTACAAGTTCAATTATTGTTTCAGAGTAGAACGTGCTCTGAATTTCACAATCCCATATCATATATCCAAGTCAGCTCCCTACTTTCAGGTTCAGCGGTCTTTCGAATTCTTTCCACAGGGATAGGTTAAACCGATAAATTATTGTTCTTAATTCACTCGTTAGCGAGTATCTTACGTTTAACTAGTTTATGAATACTGTTTTCGTTCTTGAAATCAGGTAGACTTTAGAACTAGCTGAATTTAATATCGAATTTGCTACGAAAAGGAACAGATTTCTGTTTGTAACGTGGAGTTTAAAAATTAAGAGCTTATTTGAAGTAGGGAATGCTAACGATTCTTTTTAATGGCATCACAGAAATGCTACTCGTGTGGTGGTATGAACAATAACTATAAAATGATTGGTGGAAGCAGTAATAAAACATCTGCAGAGAAGAAAAAACATAAATCGATTGCTTCTGTATGGAGACCCGTGTCTATGCAGTCTTGTTCAGCTGATGGTGAGTATTTATTCTTCTGTTTGGATGAGCTTTTTTCAAAGCGATTATTGTGATGTGAATAATCACAATCGTAATCAGTTTATTAACGTTAGATATATGAATTTTGCATCTATGTCAAGATCGCCATGGTGGAGCTGAAGTAGGTAGTAAACTGGCTGAACCACAAATTGGTCCTGCAATATTACCTGATAAAGAGGAAGACAATGCATTCAAAGGGTCAGTGTCTTCTACAGATAAACATTCAATCTCTTTAGAGGTAAAGCTTTAGTTGTCTTTTTTTTTTTTTTTTTTCTTTTGAATTGTGAACTTACACTTAGTTTTCCTTGTAATTCGTATACTTTCCTCATTTGGTTTCTTTATCATGTAGGTAGGGTCTTCCTTGTTTCGGTTCATCAAAGGAAAAGGGTACTTCTGGCATTTCCACTTATTATATTCTAGTCATTTACATATGTTTCCACTAAATATAATACTTTCTTCATAATCCTCCACAGGGGTTATGTGCAATCAAAAATTGAAGAAGAGATGGGGGTTAAAATAATATTTCCATCATCAAGAAAGGAAGAATCAATAAGTATGTTTCTTGAATCTGGCCATTTTTATATAAAACAGATTGTGTACACTTTGCACTCATTACATATATAGAAATTTATATTCCCATCTTATTTTGAAGAACTATTTACAAATTTTCAGTCATCGAAGGCACTTCTCCTGATAGTGTAACTAGAGCTTCAGAAAGAATACAACTCATAATTGACGAGGTCAGTTGCTTTTTATCTTGCTTAAGTGAAAATCTTTCTTAGCTTCCATTTTACATAAGATGCTGATGTGGCCATGTGGGAATTTACAGACTGTCAAAAGCTCAGCTCTTGACTACTCACACTTCATATCACTTCCACTGGCTATACATCCTCAATTGGTTGATAAGCTTGTCAACTTTCAAAATTCAATATTAGGGTTACATGATAATTCTTCCAATGAAGATACATCAGAAGAAGAAAACGGGGACAAAAAATTAGGTGAATCTACTCTCACACTTAAAGCTCAAGAAGACAGTGGAAATGTGAAAGTGGATGTTACTAAAATACCCCTTGTAAGTTATCCCCCAAAATCCTCTGCTACATCCACCTCAGGCTCAAAGCCAAAGACTTCCACATTATCCGGTATGTGAGCAGAATTATCCTTATAATGTAATTTTCCGTTTTGTTCATTTTATTAATTTCTTTTTTTTTTTGGTGTAAACAGAATTAGGAATAGATAAATCGATTTTTATCAAGCCAAAGACATTTCACTTAACTGTGCTCATGTTGAAGTTGTGGAACAAGGAGAGAGTTGATGCTGCTGTCAAGATATTTGAGGTCAAATTTAATTGCTAAACTTTGTTGACTGATTATATATTTGAGATGAATTAAATGTTTTATAATTTTTTTATGACACAGGGCATTGCAGGTGAAATAACGGATGCATTAGATGGCCGAGCTGTATCTATTAAACTTAATGGGCTAGTAAGAATCCTTTTTAAGTTGATATATTAGATTCATAGCCCAGTTTAATTTATTAATAATATAAATATATAATAATTTATCAAAATTTTGTAAAACAATTTATTTTACTTGAACATAAACCAGATCGTTGAGATACCTCAAAATAAGTACCAAAATTGAAAAAATAGCTAAACTCAGGGACCTACTTTCATATTGAGTTGGAGAAAAAAAAGAAAGCTGACAATTTTATGTCGATACCCTTACCATGTAAAATAGATTAGGGATAATTTCGTCAGTAAGTGCAAGAAATAGCAATGTACTCTTATATATTTGTTTATTATAGCATCCTACTTTCATTTCTTCCTATTTCAAGATTGTACTTTGAAAAATCTACCCAATCATAGCAATGTCATCCAAATACAAAGCAATATTCAGTATTCCCAAATTGTCCCACATTTAGGAGGATCTAAGATTACATAACTACTTCTGTAACTTTAAACAACTTATATTATCTAATCTAATTCAGATTCTTTAAGTCGCTATAGTTGATTGGAATTTATTTATTATTTCTTTTATAAAGAACATGGAGCCAATGTTCTTGATTTATACTTTCTTCTTTCAGGATTGCATGAGAGGATCTCTTGCTAAAGCTCGTGTTCTTTATGCTCCTGTTGAAGTAATTGGTGGTGAAGATAGGCTTTTGCGGGCTTGCAGTATCCACATTTTATGTGCATTTTTGTTTATTTTCTTTTTAATTGAAGTAAAAGAAAAAAAGCAACAATGAAAATTATTCGTGTTTTTTCCTGAGCTTTCTTAGAAGTCATCACTGAAGCTTTCACGGAAGGTGGCCTTGTTCTTGAAAAAGATGCCAAACAAACATTAAAGGTAGGTGAAGGTCATTTCTTTTTTTTTTTCGACTTAATCGGAACAGACTTAATCTGGTAAGCTATATATATATATATATATATATATATATATATATATATACACACACACACACACACTATATGAGTGTTTCTTTTTTACTCAACGCAGTTGCATGCAACGGTTATGAATGCGAGACACAGGAAAAGGTTCTTCTGTTTATTTATCTTTTTGGTTGTTGGATTATATAGTTTTTATTATGCTATTTCTTTATAAAAGTGAATAAAGGGAATTAATTATATTTATTGATTAGGACTAAGACGACAAAAAAGTATGATTCATTTGATGCTCGTGGTGTTATGGAGAAATATGGTTCAGAGGAATGGGGGGAGTATTTGATCCGTGAAGTTCATCTTTCACAAAGGTTTGTGTTTGATGAAGATGGCTACTACCATCGTTGTGCCTCTATTCTGCTCCCTCAGAATGTGCAAGTAGATTAGTTATTTGTTTTTGATTAATGATTTGAAGATCATGGTCATTTTGTTGAATATTTTGTATGAGTTGCTAATAGGTGAATAAATATGTATGAAAGGTTTTTGTTTTCAAACGTTATAGACCAAATCGATAGAAAATTAATTAATCAATATATTGTGGTTAAGGGAATAAATCCAAGTATGCTACAGTAAAACAAACATGACCCATGGTTACCAAAGCATTTACTTGTCCATTAAAGATCATGGTCATCTTAGTATGCTGTAGTAATACAAACAACTGATAAAAGTAGTTTAGGAGTAGGTTAGCTGGTAGATTTGCCGTTTCAAACAAATGATAAAAGTGGTCTGCAAAAATAGCAATTGAATAGCTTGTGAGAAAACACATTTATGGTATTTTCATAAATACCCATGTAACGTGTTTTTGCAAGATGGTTTGCAAAAATACATGTTTCCCATGTAAACATACCAAAATTATTTGCAAATTTATCTCATTTTTCAGGTCAATTTTGGTATTTTCGTGGATATAATGCTTGTAAAGTTGGCTAAAAAGCCCCTTTTTGAATCAAAATAATAAAGGTATAAATAATAAAAATAACCATAGAAACCCATAGAATGACATTGAAAAAATTGGGTAAACACTTATTTGTGCATGTCATTTTCGTACAAGGTCCATGAGAAAATGGTTGTTTTTAATAAACAGATAGATTTTTATTTGATACTTGCAAGTTGTAAATTGTGTGGAAAACAAAAGGAATAGCGACAATGGTGATTGTGAATAGGCGTGTTCGTTTTAATGGATTGGTTTGATCCGATCCAATCAAGTGAATCCAAATTGATTTCGGTTTTAAAACATGGATCCGAATAGTCTAAACCAAAATCAAATCCGATCCGATCCAATTACAATTCGGTTGGATCGGTTTTTATAATTCGGTTTTCAAAAACCGAAACATTTTAAAACGACATAGAATTATAATATTATTCAACTTTACACAAGAAGCGAAAACAAATTATTTAGTTGTGATTTGAAATTTAAACAACTAATAAAAAGATATATTATAGTTAAATATTTTACAGATAGAAAACTTTTGAGAGAAAATGCATATTAAATTTTTTTTTATCAGGTGAAACGTTTTGAACCTATTTGAAAAAATAAATTACAAAATTAATAAATAACTATAAATATATATTATAAATAAATAAATAATAAATGTTTATTCGGTTTTTTTGGATTATTCGGTTCTTATTTTATAAACCAAAATCAATCTAAAATCCAAAATAATAATTCGGTTTTGTTGAAAACCAATCCAAAGATCCGATTATCCAAACCAAATAGTCCAATTGGAGAATTCGGTTTTATCCAAATAGTGAACAGTCCTAATTGTGAAGGAGTAGCAATTAGAATTTATAACTTAATTATAATAATCTTTGTAGATTACTTGTATTTGGTATTTATAAGGAAGGATATAAAAATTTTAAAAAATTGCAAGCTAATGAATTATTTTTTTGAAATATGTAAAAATTACAAATAAAATGATTGATTGCTTTATTATATATGTGTAAAGTTTTTAATAAACAGATAGATTTTTATTTGATACTTGCAAGTTGTAAAAAAATTGATAAATTATTTTTTGAAATGTATAAAAATTAGTGAGACTATAATTATTCTTTAAAGTTTGCAAAATTGTAAAAAAAATCGATAAGATATTTTTTTGAAATATATAAAATAATTCAAAATTATATTTGGTGATTAGAAAAAATCTAAAAATATTATTGAAATTAAAAAATGTATAAAAGTAATTAAAATAGATAATGTGTATTCCAGTAGAATTTCTTCTTTCAGCAATCTTATCAAACGTTTATGCATATATCGACTTCACGGTTACAAGTTCAATTATTGTTTCAGAGCTCTGAATTTCACAATTCCGTATCACATATCCAAGTCAGTGCCCTACTTTCAGGTTCACCGGTCTTTCAATTCTTCCCACAGGGATATTAATTGACTCATTAGCAAGTATCTTACGTGTAACTAGTTTATGAATACTGCTTTCGTTCATCAAATCAGGTAGACTTCGACTTATTTTTTCTACATGACTACGAAAAAGAACAATTTTCTGTTTGCATCGTTGAGTTTAAAAGTCAAGAGCTTATTTGAAGTTGGGAATGTTAATGATTCTTTTTAATGGCAGAGATGCTACTCGTGTGGTGTTATGAACAATAACCATAAAATGGTTGGTGGAAGCAGCAATAAAACCTCTTCTGCAGAGAGGCAAAAACAGAAATCAATTGCTTCTGTACGGAAACCCGTGTCTATGCAGTCTAGTTTCGATGGTGGTAAGGATTTATGCCTCTGTTTGGATGAGATTTTTTCAAAGCGATTATTGTGATTTGAATAATCAGTTTCTTAAAGTTAGATATATGAATTTTACATCTCTGTCAAGATCGCCATGGTGGAGCTGAAGTAGGTAGCAAACAGGGTGTCAAAAGCTCAGCTCTTGACTACTCACACTTCATATCACTTCCACTGGCTATACATCCTCAATTGGTTGATAAGCTTGTCAACTTTCAAAATTCAATATTAGGGTTACATGATAATTCTTCCAATAAAGCTTCTACCTCCTCCTCAAAGCAAAAGACTTCCTCATTATCCGGTATGTGAGCAGAAATATTCTTATAATATAGTTTCCCGTTCATTCATTTTCTTAATTTCTTTTTTGTGTAAACAGAATTGGGAATAGATAAATCGATTTTTATTAAGCCAAAGACATTTCACTTAACTGTGCTCATGTTGAAGTTGTGGAACAAGGAGAGAGTTGATGCTGCTGTCAAGATATTTGAGGTCAAATTCAATTGCTAAACTTTGTTGACTGAGTGATTTATTTTTGATGAGTTAAATTAATGTTTTATAATTTTGTTATCACACAGGGCATTGCAGGTGAAATAATGGATGCATTAGATGGCCGATCTGTATCTATTAAACTTAAGGGGCTAGTAAGAATCCTTTTGTAGTTGAACTCAATTTAATTTCTTAAAAATATAAATATAAAATAAATAATCAAAATTTTGTAAAACAATTCATTTTATGCGGAACATTAACCAAATTCAAAATATGAACCAAAGCTGCAAAAAAAACTTTTAGGGGCCAAAATTGAAAAAACCCAGCTAAACTCAGGACCTACTTTCATGTGTTATTGAGTTGGAGAGAAAAAGAAAGAAAGCAGACAATTTTATGTCGATACACTTACCATGTAAAATAATAAATTGAAAGTAGACTGTTATATTGGTGGGCAGTAATTTCAAATTACAATGTCTTAATAAGAAAAAAATGAAAGTACAATGTTTTTTTTTTTTTTTTTTTGAAAGAGATGAAAGTACAATCCTCTCTAATAAATGAAGGTTTTTTTTGCCACTTGTCACTCTTACATTAACTTGGACACATGTTATTTTTTGGTATTTTTGAATAAATGTTTTTCCATTTGTTTTTCCATTTGTCATTTTATCATTTTTTTATCTTTTCTTAATTAACAAATCAAATTTACACATCAATTAATAATTGCCTTAATTAATAATAGTTAATAAATTACAATATTAATACTTATATATTGTATTTAATATGTTTCCTTTTAAATTCAAATTTTAAATTTTAAATTTCAAATCTAAAATTTCAAATTTAAATAAATGTTTTTCTTAATCTGTGTGTTTTTTATCTGTGGACAATAATATTGGGACGGAGGGAGTATATTTTTTGTTTTACTAACCCCGTATAACATACGGGTCTCACAACTAGTGTTTGTAATATAAAGAAATGAAAGTAAGATACTATAAATAAAAGATGAAGGTATGTTGCTCTTTCTTGCATTTAGCCTTTAAAAAGTTATAAAGCCTTTCATTTCTCTTCAAATTGTCCCACATTTAGGAGGATCTTAGATTACCTAACTACCCTATAACTTTAAGCAACTTCTATTATCTAATCCAGTTCAGATTCTTCAAGTCACTATAATCATTTTAAGAAAAGCACATCCAAACACCCCTAGTCCCATATAGTTGATTGGAATTTTTGTATTTTTTATAAAGAACATGGAGCCAATGCTCTTAAATCTTAATTCATACTTTCTTCTTTCAGGATTGCATGAAAGGTTCTTTTGCTAAAGCTCGTGTTCTTTATGCTCCTGTTGAAGTAGTTGGTGGTGAAGATAGGCTTTTGCGGGCTTGCAGTATCCAGATTTTATTTACATTCTTATTTATTTTCTTTTTATTTGAAGTAAAAGAAAATAAAGCAACAATAAAAATTATTCGTGTTTTTTTCCTGAGCTTTCTTAGAAGTCATCACTGAAGCTTTCACGAAAGGTGGCCTTGTTCTTGAAAAAGATGTCAAACAAACATTAAAGGTAGGTGAAGGTCGTTCCTTTTTGACTTAATAAACTTAATGGGAACATGACTTAATCTGGTAAATTATATATGAATGTTTCTTTTTCACTCGATGCAGTTGCATGCGACAGTTATGAATGTGAGACACAGGAAAAGGTTCTTCCATTTATTTATCTTTTTGGTTGTTGGATTATATAGTTTTTAATGTTTTGTGAATAAAGGGAATTAACTATATTGACTAGGACTAAGATGACAAACCAGTATGATTCATTTGATGCTCGAGGAGTTATGGAGAAATATGGTTCAGAGGATTGGGGGAGGTATTTGATCCGTGAAGTTCATCTTTCTCAAAGGTTTGTGTTTGATGAAGATGGTTACTACCATTGTTGTGCGTCTATTCCGCTCCCTCATAATGTGCATAAATGTATGAAATGGTTTTGTATATGAATATTTTTTGAATAATGATTTGAAGATCATAGTCATATTTATGAATATTTTGTATCAAATGCTAATAGATGAGTGGATAAATGTATTGAATGGTTTTGTTATCTTCTTCCAAATGCAGGTATATATTTTATTTTACTTGCTTCTATCTTTTGAAAAAGGATTCATTCAAACATTTTATATATCGACCAAATGATAGAAAAGTAATTAACATATTGTCATTATGGGGATAATTCTATGTATATCGGCTATATAAAACCAATTTCTTACATTGTTCATGGTTTCTTACCAAAAAAACTTATGAAAGGCTATGTATAAAAAGAAAATAGGAAACGCGCTAGAAGGAGGGCTTGAACCTCCGACCTTGTGGTTAACAGCCACACGCTCTAACCAACTGAGCTATTCCAGCAACTTGTCTAAATGTTATGTTGCATAGTTTTTGACTTATTAATCAGAATCAGGTAAATTTTAATTTCAATTCTGATTTTCTTTATGTAAATAATTAATATATTAAACCATGGTTATACCATTATATTATTATAATGATAGTTTAGTTTTTAAATAAAGTAATTTAAGTTGCGTAATTATACATTTTGAGGTGACAGCCAAGCCGTTCAATCCATTTCCTCTTTTGTTTTCTTCGTATTTTATTTAGTTTAACTTGTTAGGTTTAAAACATAACTCTTATCAATCTATTTTTAAATAAATTAATCAAAAACCACACCTTTTATAAAAAAAAGTAAAAGATCACCACGGATGTTTGCTCACAATTTTGGTATTGCGACCTACTTTATGTAAATGTACAATTTCATTAATACCTTTATCTAGATCTATGACAAATACATCACCTAAAAACAAAATTAACCAATTTCGATTTGACATAAGATGATAATAATTCGTTAAATTGGAATGGGGTGTTGTACCTGTACATACTACGTAGTGGGTTTAGTATTACAGCTAACGCCCAAGAAAAAGTGACTGGTCAAACTTTATTTGGTCAGAAACATGAGTGAAGAGTCGATTCTATAAGAGAATTTTGATGTTATTCTAGATATTTATCCATTTTCTCATAATAGACTGAGTTTGATTGAAACTTCAGTCTATAATTCAATGCATCTAAATTCAAATCTTTATAAATATTTCAAACCCTTTACAAATTTGAAATTTAGTGGAAGATGATAATAAATAGTACATTCAGAAAGCATGAGATAAAGGACCGAACAAATCTTAGTGGAACCAATTATATTTATCTGGCATTACTTTGTACTTTTTTTTTTTAAATGGCGGGACAGTCTCCATTTAAAGTGTTAAAATCTCAAATGATCAACTTTGTATTTGAATGACATTGTTACAATCGGATAGATTTTTCAAAATACAATACTGTAATAGAAAAATATATTATAATAAACAAATCAATAAAAATACGTTGCTATCTCATACATTTAACCCTCATTGAAAAAAGCATACAAGTACATCGTGCAGAGAACTTGAGTGAAAACTCGAGCAAGGATATTCAAAATTTGATACTCATTGAAGCTTCCCACCATTATTACTAATCAAATTTGGTTAATATAGGATCGCTTATGAATCATAGACAAGATATTTGCGCTTTTGAGTCGACCTAATTTCTTTGTGGCATTTAGAAATTCAACTTTTTATCCTCCCATCTTCGTTTTTCTCTTTAGTCACTTCTGAGATGTCTTCCTTCCCAAAACCAAGTTCCGACATGTCTTGCCTTGCCATCAAATTCCTGAAAAGCCCTCCCACCACAACAATTAGAAAACTCATTTAGGTCCACACAAAAAGTTATGACATGACATGACATATGACAGAATATGACTTCTTCGTCTTTTGCAAATATAATTTCTTAAGGGAAGTAACAAACTAACTTTTCCATTCGGCATTCCAAGTATTTCTTTGAAAGGTGTCTACATATCTCGGATTTATGCCCTGATGTTTTGAGACAACTTATATATTCTTTCTTCTCCTGAATTTAGCAAATTAACACCAAACCAACAGTCAAAATCATAAGACTGCAATTCCAATTTTCTAAATTACACAAGAGAAAGAAACTAATTTTCACCAAAAAAAAAAAAAATCAGGGAGAGGTACCAGGTCACATAAGTGCATATGGTCCAATGGAAAAACTCCTTTCTCTGGTGGAACTGGTCGTGCTCCTCTGTTCCCTCCAAATGCTCCTCCTGAAAAGAAATGAATAATGTCTCATCTACATGATCTTAAGAGATACTAGAAGTAGTAAGAATAATCACTTTTAACTGCTCAAAATTTGCTACAAGAACATTAATTTCACGTTTGTAATTTGAAAATTAGTAGGTGCATATGCAAATTGCCAAAAGTGAAAAATGGACTTTGATTAATTGACCGATGGAGTTATTAGCGATAGCATTAAACCACATCCAACTTGATCCGAGTTAGGTCATAAGTGCAGCAGGGCAATGGCAACTGCTTCGCTAGAAGCAGTGATTCTGATTTCACTTATTGACAGAAAGAACAAGTATTATTGAGAAGATATCGGCAAAACCCTAAATCTTAGGGAGGTTTTATCACCGCCAACTCGTAAATTACTTGATGGAAAGCAGTTTGGCCAAAGGAAACCCTAGGAGGCTGTGTATGTGTGTAAATAGAATTATACATACAGAGAAAGAGGGGTGTACCAGTGCTCATTGGGGAAGATTGAAGGGTGAATTACAGAAGCTTCGTGTCGATCAAAATGGCGATTTTAAATCACTTAATCAGAAAGGTGTCTGTAGTCTGTACCAACCAGAAAGCGGGAATCAGTACCAGAGAAAAGGAGATGACAGGAGAGGAAACTAACCGTAGATGGCGGCGATGAAAAGGCTGCCCGATACGAGTGGTGCCGGTGGCGATGTTGCCCTTGTTCGATCGGGAGCGCCGGAGAAGGAGATGTGTGCGGGGATACGAGGGAGCGCTGGAGATCGTGACGTTATGATGCCCGGAGAATGGGGAAGTTTGGTGTGTGAAAGGTAAGGGCAAATATGCAAAGTTTGGGTGTGTGAACTCTACGACCGGGGATGAGCTTTAGTACCCGACCTGTTCGGAACCGGAACCGGTTTTTCCATATTAGAAGAATCGGGAATCGGATCGTCGGTTCCGGTCCCGGTTTTTCGGTTATTTTTATCTTCCAGAGTTTATAGTTGATTCAATATTTAACCAAATCATCATTTTTTACGTTCTAAATTGAAGTATAAACACTAAATTACATGCTAAAAAAGAATTAAGTAATTTCGACTTCATATGAGTGAGTTATACGCATTTTAAAAACGGGACATATTTCAAAAAAAAAAAAAATGTTGAAACAGTAAATACACAACATTGATATGTTGTCTTTCAGGGTCTATAGCTGATTCAATATCTAACCAAAATATGTGTACGGTCTAAAATGAAATACAAACACCAAATTACATGATGAAAAGAAATTTAAGTAATTTCGACTTCATATGAATAAGTTATGCATAATTAATAAAAGGGGACAAATTCAAAAAAAAATTATTGAAATAGAAAAAACGCAACATCAATATTTTTTTCTTTCGAGGCATGTATATGATTCAATATCTAACAAAAATATACGTTTGTACAGTCTAAAATGAATTACAAACACCGAATTACATGTTGAAAAAAAATCAAGTAATTCTGACTTCATATGAGTGAGTTATACGCATTTTAAATCAAGTAATTCTGTTTAGGTTTGATCTTGGCCCAACGATTCATATTGGGGTGGCATATGACTAGGTTTGACTATATGAATTATTAGTAGACCTGACAATCAGGTTGGGTTCGGGTTGACGGATCATGGGTTGGCAAGTCAGAAAATATAAACTCAACTCAACCCATATAATATATTGGTTGGCGGGTTGGCCGGTTGGAAACTTCAACTCAACCCAACCCATATAACTCATTTAAGTATATGGGTTTAAGGGTTCACAGGTTAGTGGGTCGAACCCAACCCGTATAACTCGTTTAATAAATAAACTACACATTTAAAAAAAAATATGGTTTTTTCAGCATAAAGTAATAAAGTGATTAAAGTCATTAACATCAAAAAAGAGGTTTTCAACATAAAGTCATAAAGTCATAAACATCTAAATAAAATTGAAAAATGAAAACATTCATACAAAGTGCAATTGTTCAAAAATATCCAAAAACCAATTCGATAATTCATCCATGCTAGAATTCTCATTTATTCCACCATCACCGACTTCTTTATGATGAGATTCAAATAGAAACAATGTGCAAAATTAAATATATGATCTTTTGAAAGCTACATGGTAGTCGATGCATTGTTACTTACCGGTGGACAGAGGTGGGTCGATTTAGGGTTGGAGCAGAGTACAGGAACGAGTGAGCGAGAGTGGTCAGTTTGTGTGTTTTCTGACTTTTCTCCCGTCAGTTGGTGGTGTGCGACAGTGCGAGTTGAGTAGCCGACGAGCCGATGACAGGTGGGCTAGTAGGCGATCGGAGGATCGATGATGAGCGGGTGACAGGGTGAGGGCATGAGGAACAACCATCGGCCAGTGGTGGTCTAGTGGATGCGTTCTTCGTTTTTGACTCGTGAATATGTTGTATGTGTGTTTTCTTTTTTGATTAGCGCACTGCAAAAAACTAGCCACACGATTATACGAATACGGAAGAAAATCAGATTTCATTAATAGTTAAATATATATATTTTTTTTATATATACGGGTTGGCGGGCACGAACCCAAACAGGTAACCCAACCCAACCCATGAAATAAACGGGTTGGCGGGTCAAAAATCTCAACCCAAACTCGTTTATTTTCGCGTTGAGTCAGTGTCAGGTTATAGGTTGGTACGAGAGTTGCCATCCCTAATTATTAGTGTTATATAAAATATACTAATATGAACAATTTGCACATAAATAAAGAGTTGGTAATCCTTGAAATAAAATTCTTATCCATGTATTTAATTATAACTTTCAAACAAACTTAATAATCTTTAGATCTTCATGGATTTATTGTATATAGACAAGTCTTGAAGTTAAGTTGACTAGAATTCAGGTAGCCTAATTGTCAAGTCATCCATGTTGCCTAGGTAAGCCTGATGGGTTTGATGGAAAAAACGCAACCACACCGGTAAATAACAATGCGACAATAAAATTCGTTTGACGAAACTTTCCCGACTTGAACGAACCTTGGAGGATGCAAATAAATAGGGTATTTTCACTTGCAACAAAACAACTCCAATACAAGTTATATGATCAATATAATCAACCAAAAACAATAAGTAATCAATCAAAATGAGACACCAAAATTTTAGAGTGGAAAACCCCTCAAAACGAGATTAAAAACCACAGGACTACTAGAGCCGTTTCAAATCCACTATCACAAATATTTGAGCAATACAAAGTCTTCTCTAGATGTCAGGTTACAGGTTGGGTCGAGAGTTGTCATCCCTAATTATTAGTGTTATATAAATGTAACATCCCGAGCTTTCAGGTATTTTTCAAATTCTTCCTTTGGTTTTTAAATATGTCATTTTGGGTCCTTGGAATATAAAGGAGTAGCCTAAAGGAGCCCTAGCGGCAAAATGTTAATTCTTTGGAAATTGAGTGGTACGCTAGGCGTACATGTGGGTACGTCAAGCGTACTAGGGCACGCCCTAGTACGCTGGGCGTACACATGTGTATGTTGGACGTATTAATGTCCAGGTGAAGCCCTAATTTTTAGGGTTTGAAGAGTATTTAAGCACATTTATGGATCATTTTGCTTCACTCTTTCAGCCTCCAAGTCCTTGGGCCGTTTTTATCAAACCCTAACCCCATAAGTGAGTGTTTTGATCATAAAGTGTGTTATTTGTGTGATTAAAGGAGAAGGAAGTGCACCAAGGAGTCACGTAAGGAAAGCAAGCTTGTAGATCTTGGATCATCATCTCATTTGGAAGCTCCAGAAGGTATAAAGTTGCTACCTTTGTGTTTTGTTTGCTTAGATATCATCATGGTAGCTTTATGATGTTCTTTAGTCCCTAAAAGTCCCATTTTTGTGCATGTTCGATTTGGACTGTTTGAGCTGTCCTTCTAGACCCTAGGAAGGGTCATTAGTCATAAAAATGAGATCCCAATGGCCAGAAGTGTTTCATGCATTTGGAAAAAGGGTCTTAATGGGTTAAGACCTTGTATTAAGAACTTATGGACGTGTAAAGTCATAAAGTTGGAGACTTTATGACTATAGGTTGCATTTGGACCATGGATCTCTAATATGGGCTTAAGTGCTTAAGTCATTAAGCACTTAATGGACTTTTTGGATCTGCGAGAGTACACTCCGCGTACTCGGTCAACCACCCCGATGGTGGTTAATGTGAGGTTCGCGTACGCCCTGCGTACCTTCGGTGTACGCCCAACGTACGTCGTCTGTGGGCTTTTGAGTTTGGGCTTTGAGTTTTGGGCCACCTTTTGGGCTTGTATGGCTTGGGCCCTCATTGGACTTTCTGAGTATGAGTGTTTTGGGCCAGTTGGAGAGTTGGACCTTAGGATAAGACCCAATAAGGGATTGGGCCCAATTTGGAAAGTTGGGCCAATTATGGGCCTTGAAGTAAATTGGGCCTTTCAATCAAAATTGGACGTTGGGCATTGGCCCAGTTAGGGAAAGGGTAAAGTGGACCTTTACCCTAAGTATAAATCATTAGTCAAGAATGGTAATCCAATTGTTAATTGAATGTTTATTTTGTTGTGATAGTTCGGGATTCTTCGTGAGCCAGTAGTCGGAGGTTTTCAGTTTGGTTTGACATTGTGAGGTGAGTCTTCCTCACTGTACTTTTAGGGTCGAAGGCACCAAGGCCGGCCCATTGGTTTGATAACCTGATATTGTTGATATGTTGAGTATGGAATAGATATGCATGCTAGTTTTGATATGCTAGTTTGGTAGATCGGTAGGACTACCTGTGATACTGTCTGTTTATCTGTATATGATATTATCTGTTGTGTGTCGACATATGGTGTGGGTTAGGTTGAGGTTGTATTGCTCCGTGTTGTAGCCAACAAACCCTGGAGCATACCAGATATGAGTTGAGGGTCGGGGAGGGCATGCCAGACTCATACTGAGGGCTCATGAGCATTCCAGATACGAGCTGAGGGTCGGGAAGGGCATGTCAAACTTGTACTGAGGGCTTAGTGGTATTTAGTCCGAGGACTGGTCAGGCCGGGGAGCAAGCCAGACATAAGCTGTAGGCCCATGGGGCAAGCCAGACTTGTGTTGTGGGCTCAGGGGTAATCCAGTTTGTTAGTTGTGGACCGATTGCATGTTGTTATTATATTTGTGCTATTTGTTATGTATCAGTATTTTGGGGGAACTCACTAAGCTTTGGGCTTACAGTTTTGGATTATGTTTCAGGTACTTTAGAGGATCGCGGGAAGGCGAAGGCGTGATCGTGCACCTCATCATGTTTTATTTCACGATTTT